TCTAAGGGACCTGTTGGTACATACGGACCCCTCGAAAAGCTATGAGAACACTGAGATGCAGCCTCGGGGAAGTATCTGCTGCCTTGGATGTGTGACTTGTGGGCACATGACACCTTCAACTACTTTCCAACATCCACACAGTAATAAGATTTTTCAAATACGACATACGATCACCTGTAAGACCCCATATGTGATTTACAAATTGTCGTGTCCGTGTGGCCTCTTTTATATAGGCAAAACGGAAACCCCTCTGTGTGAAAGAATTAGGGGACACAGGTCGAGTATCAGGGTAGCCTACCGTGATGGTACCTCTGATCAACCTGTAGCCAAACATTTTCTTTTCCATCAACATCCCTTGTTAGCCCTTAAGTTTCTGGCCATTGACCATATCCCTCCACTTAAACGTAGTGGGGATAGAGGCAAGCTTCTCTTGAATCGTGAGACATTTTGGAATTACACATTAGGCACCATAGCCCCTAAAGGCTTGAACGAAATGATTTCATATCACTCTTTTATTTAATTCTGTGCTACTGTTGTTGTTTTCAACTATAGCTAGCATGGTCTAGGTTTACATTTACTTAATAGATGTATTTACTTGATTTTTTTATTTTAGTTCTATATTTTACCATTGCAGAACCGCCTGCCCCTTTAAATGGCTGTTTATTACTAGCCACAATCTATTTAATTTAGTACATAATAGGATGATCTGGCCTTATGGATCATAAGCACTAACACTTTATATTTCAATATAATAACAGAGATCATAACTTATATGTATTTGCTTATTCTCTGCTTAGTAGTCACTCTATGCACTTTTTGATGACTTGGTCCTATAGTTTATTGGCACTTGACACTTTTGCTTAATATGCCATATATAGAGATTATGCTGCATATTTATTTGTTATTTTCTGGATATCAGTCACTTTGGTCATTTTTTACATGTCTTTTCAGGTGGTTTTTTGCAATAGTTCATACTTAGATTTTACTTTATCTTACTTTCACTTTACTTATATCACTTCTTTATTAGTCACATAGATACACTGTTTATCTTTGTATCCACTGGATTTGTTCTGCGTGCTTGCTTCCGGCGTCTTGGTTGCCAGGGTGAGCTGGTATTGTTTACGGTCTCCATGGCAACTGACGTCGCGCATCCACGCTGACGAGGGGCGGAGCCTGTATGAATATACATACAAGCCTTCTGATAATGGAACAAATGCACTATTCATTCATTCACTATATTCTTTGATGTCCTAGTACTTCAGGCCACCATATACTACATTGGCTTTCAGTGATCGCCGACGATCTCGTTGCCACGATGAGCCGGGGTTGCGTCCGGTTGCCGTGGCAACGGACGTTGTTCGGTCATGTTGACATGGGAGGGGCCTTGGGCACGCATGCGCATAGGCGTTCTGAGGACGCCGGCGGTTTCTGCAATGATACACTGGCAGGTAGGATTACTCCTTTTAAATGTACTTGATAACTATGCTAATTCTTTGATGCTAATTTTTTGCTGATTTTAATTACCAATTATCTTAATTGCTGTGCCTATTTATGCATGGGTATTGTGAGACAACATTATTGTTCCTGATGAAAGTCCCGGAGGAGGACTGAAACGTTGAGCTGTCTTTCTTGTTTTTTATTTTTCATTAAACTTTGGATGTTTTAACCTTTTCATGAATCCGTGAGTGCTGGTCATCTGTTGCTATGTGGATATATATATATATATATATATATATATATATATATATATATATATATATATATATGTGTGTGTGTATATATATATAGTGTGTGTATATGTATATATGTGTGCGTATATGTGTGTATGTATATATATATATATATATATATATATATATATATATATAGTGTGTGTATATATAAAAATATATAACTGTAGTATTTGTGTATATATATATGTGTGTGTATATATATATATGTGTGTGTGTATATGTGTATATATATATTTCCTGGCCATATCCATGGCAGCACAACAATGGGTAGCTCCTCCCCTATCCCTAGTTAGACAGGAACTAATTAAAATAAGGGTACAAATAACCCCTCCTACCTCCTCCTCCCTCAGTCTTTTTGTTCCTGTCCTATCCCTATAGGACCAAATTAGTCTATTTTCAGGACTATAATCACCTTTCTTTTATGGCTTACCTGAGGGTTTTTGCCTTCTGTCCTCAAGGAAGTTCAGCCTCTCTTCCTTGGGAAGCTTCAGTATCCGGCCCTGTGCAAAGGTGTCCCCCTGAAGATACCCCCTTAGTGACCGGGGTTTTTACTTGCAGTGACCCTAGGGGTAGCAAGAGAAAAAATGCCAAATAACTCTGATTCCCTGCAGTGACCAAGAGGTAGCAGGAAGTGGCAAGAAGACTTTATCCTGGATGGATTTCTACA